AAATGTTTCCTCGAAGCTTTGCAGGAAGTCTTGACAGTGGTTCAATTTGATTAGCGCTGGCTGGGGAGTCTTCCCAGAGGATCTTGGGAAGAACAGATACACACCCCAGAGAAACCTGCAGGGTATGGGTGAGCTGAGCTCATACTCTGTCTGCAGCCCTGGGGAGACATGCTCTGTAAGAGGGGCACACACACCAGCAGAGGCACGGGGGTGGGGTTTTTTTAACCTGCGTTAGGAAATACATGTGGACACTTAATGCAGTTTATTCAAAAGAAGCCGTCTTCTCCATTATATGTCATTCACCCTGAGAGAGATTAGAGAAGCACAAGATGCAAAAGGCCTCTTAGATCATCTAGCCCATCACCCCACAAATGAAGATTTAATCCCATTAAGGGCCACTGTTGGCTTCAGTGGCTTCAAGATTTGGTCCTAATTGCACAAACACAAAGCCATTACAAGACTGCAGTCTGACAGAGGAGCTTTCTTTTTTACAGGTTATATAATTTCTTTGATTAAAGTGGCTTATCTGCATGCTAATAATTAGAAAAATACTGTCCACTTCTATTCTTGTTTCATTCTGAGATCCTGGTGTGCTGGATATAATCAGGAGGTGAGACGTGTATGCACTGTGAGATCAGCAATGCACAGGCACATCAAAAAGACAGGTCCTTGCCCATGAGGGGATTATAATCTAATTTATTATACAGATTGCAGCAGTGCATTACAAGAAAAAAAAAAAAAAAGTTCATTTTATAGGAAGGATCAGGAATGAAGGGAGGGGTCCACACTGATTTTCACATGCTTTGCATCAGCAGCCTACAATAGCTGAATTCATTGCATGCTATATACACATTTTGTTTGCTCTCTAATTATTAATTTAGAAAGGACATTCAGTCAGGGAGGGGACTGGATGAGAAATGTCCCTGAAAGCTGTCTGGAAAAAATGAGCAAGAGTGGATTTATGGAATGAGAGGGATAGAGTCCAGAAGGTTGTCTCCTGTAGCCATGGTTGTGTGGGAGAGCATAAGAGGGCTGTAAGGAAGTGCACAAGGGTGAATGCATTGACAGTGCCAAGGATGCAACTGGCAATGGACCACAGGGCAGGAAAATGTGCAAACAAGCCCCTTAAGAGAAGATCAATATGGAAGCAAAATGCAAAATTCAATGAAGGAATACATAACTGGGGAATCAAGCTGGTGCTCCTGTTTCTTCATCCTCCTGCATATTCCAGATGACAACTAAAAGCTCAAAGTCTTTGTGTATTGATTAAACTTATTATAAAACAACAGCAAGGATAGGAAAAAAATTATCAAACTCAACTTGCATTTGTAAGATTTTAGTGGATAAACACCTTGGTCATTTTTCTTAGTTAAAAAAAAAAAAAAGTATGCCACCATTGATCAATGCTAATGGCTTTCAATAAAGGCTAATTAAATTATGCTCTAAGATTGGACAGGGCATAAGCCAAGTCCCAAGCATGCCCCAAAGCCAGTCTGAAGGGAAAAGAGAAAGGGAACTTACCCCTATGAAGCTACAGGGGATTATTTCACCTACTGCAATCTTTAATATCAATCAGCCAGGAGGGATGTTTATCCCTGTCTCCCAACATATCATACAGAGGCATTCATTCTCCAGACATGAACAAATTATGAATTGTTCTTTGAACCAAGATGAGGCTCAGCTATTCACCACCTCAATCAAAATGGAAAGCACCAAGCAAAAAAATATAACCCAAGGCAAGATAGGAGAGCAAAACAGATTAAATATATGTATAAATATTCATACATAATAAGAGATGGGATTGCAACAAAAGAATAAATCTTAACAGACCTAAAGGACAACCCAAGAGATGTCTTGGAGTTGCTAATGGTAAATTGTTACTGGCATCTTAACTTCTGCTGAACATTAGTGTAATGAGTAAAGCAAGGAGTGGGAGCCAAGACCTCAGAAATCAGAACTGTCTCTGCTGCCTCACACTGCTTAAACTACTGAGACATTAAAGGAGACCCTCAGCTTTCTTTAAAAAAAAAAAAATTAAAAAGCATCTGTTCATGTTTGCAGATAAAAACTTAGAAACACAAAGCAATTGTACCCTAAAGGCAAGTGAAGTGATCTCAAACCTTGTTACTTCAAAATACATTATTAGCTTAAACTCTGAGGACTGATTGTCGCTGTGCGAGACAGGCTCCGGGCGGGGGCCGGTGGGACACAGCGAGAAGGGGGAGAGGTGGCACCGCTTTTCCCCTTCGGCTCTGCGAGGCTCAGTTCTAGCGCGGGAGCAGACGAAAGGGCGACACGGGGCTCGGGTGCAGACACGTGTTTATAGTGGGAGCGTGTTCCCGAGACCACGGGCACCGACCCAGCGTCGGTTATACCCCGTGCCGGGGGCAGGGGGAACCTGAGCTGCGGCCAATGGGACGGGAGGCAGGGGACAGGGGCAGGGAAACCCTGGAAACAGTGATGGGAAAGGCGGGGGGGCAGGGACAGACCGCGTGGCGAGGGGGAAGGACAGGGGAACGCAGGAACGGGACAGAGGACCGCGGGAGGGAGGGGGAACGTGCGGGAAGGGAGGAGGGGGAATGGGGGAAGAAGGGAAAATTACAAACCCCGCAGCTCAATCTTTTGCATTAACATAAAGGAAAGGGGGTTCTGAGGTAAAAACAAATTAGCAATGTTACAAAGAGACATCAGAAAGTGATACACCAATCATAGTGACAATGAATGGGGCAAAAATCTTTTCCACATTACAATTTAAGATAAAGGGTACAAAATTATCATACACACGTTCTGTATCGAGGATGAAAGCAGGATTCATGACACAATGCTTGTGGTTTTCAAATTCTAGCAGAGCAGAAGCAGGCAGCGAACAGCGATGTGGTTTCTCCAATTTTATTATTTGATTGCGAAGTTGGCATAGCATTGTGAGCAGTAATTAGAGAGGATGATCTTTCCTTCTATAAGATATAACTCAATCCAAAAAGTTATTTTCAAACTATCACAAGCAATGGGGAAAACTTGTATCTAAATAACAAGGGAACTTTGGGCAAGGTACATTTAGGAGATGGGATAGGGGGTGAACCTGGGCACCACTGTTTCAGGGGAAAAAAAAACAGTGAAGCTCTGGTCCAGGTTTCCAGCTCCACTCCCTTCGAAGGGGGCCCCTCCCACAGCAAAGGGGAAAGCTCTCTTACAAAGGGAGGTGCTCTAACAGAGGGGCCCCTCTGGAAATCCCTCCCATCAGAGGGGGGCCAGAAGAAGGACTGAGGCATTAATCCAACCTCACCTCCCCCCAACAGGGGCTGGCTCGCTGCAGGATGGTGCAGGGCCATTGGGGGAGGAGTGGGGCCAGAGGGAAAACTTGGGGCGGAAGAGAAGGATCAAGGCAGGAAAAGGGGATCCCTGTAGCGTGGCCAGCGCCATCTTGGGAGGGGGTGCTGGGTGCACTGCACCTCGCCCAGGGAGGCACGGCCAATGCCATCCCCAAGGGAGGATAACAGTGTCCGGCAGGGTGCTTGGGGTGGCTCAGCCGCTGGCATCCCCAAGGGAGGAGGTTTGGGGAAGTCCGTGGGGAAAAGGGAAGGGGAAGCTTCGCAGAAGCCGAGGGGGAAATCTACAGGAGAGGGGCCCGATGTGGCTGGAAGCCGACGAAATGCGTGGATGTGAAGGGCCTCTCTTAGGATGTTAACAATTCTCCTATAGCTGACGTGTCGCCTCTTACAATTCTGTCCCATTGGTGTCCTTTCGACTCCCCCTGCCCCCATAGTCCAGAATAGGGAGGAGAGGGTATAAAAGGCAGCTTTCTGAGAAAGAGAAGGAGCTTTCCAGAATGAGTTACCCTGGAAAAGACCAAGCGAGGTTGTGTCCTCCTCAGAAAAGAAAAAGCCTCCCGGCTGCCAGGGACATGCAAGGCTACAGCCCCCATCTGGACACGGATGGTGGTTAAAACTCAGAAAAGAAAAAAAGGTAGCTCAGCCGCCCGCCAGGGTCCCACCCTGCTCTGACCCAATTTACCCTCCGGGCTCCGGCGGTGAAATCTCTATCTCTCTCCTCGGTGGTGGAAAATTGTGCTGAACTGAGGACATATTCTTTCATGGTTTGGCTCTCCCAGAAACCTGGGTGTTCCCGTTAACCAGAGCTTGTCCCTGAAACTCTGGGTTCAGCCACTGTCAGCCTCTGGTCTCCATTCAGATGCCGTCCCCTGATGGACCACTTTTTGAGCTCAGTCCATCGAGCCACTGCCAAACTGTCCTCTTTGTTCCTTGGGTAAGTCTACCCGGCTCCCGGCCCCTGCAGTCCGGCTGCCCCCGCAGCGCAGCTGCTCCCGAGCAGGTTAGAGAGCACACCGGGGAGGACGGAAGAGGGTCCCGGAGCTTCAGGTTTGTTTTCCATCCGGCGCATCAACTCCTCTTAGCGTCTGCAGAGCTCTTGCGGCAGCAGAGTTCCTTTCTCTCTCCCCCTTTTTACAAATCGATGGGAATAACCATCCTCTGCTACCATTTGTTGCCGTGCGAGACCAGCTCCGGGTGGCCGCCGGTGGGACATGGCCGGAGGAGGGGAGAGGCAGCAGCCGCTTTTCCCCTTCGACTCTGCGAGGCTCAGTTCTAGCGTGGGAACAGACGAAAGGGCGACACGGGGCTCAGGTGCAGACACGTGTTTATTGTGGGAGCGTGTTCTCGAGACCACGGGCACCGACCCGGGCGTCGGTTATACCCTGTGCCGGGGCAGGGGGAACCTGAGCTGCGGCCAATGTGGACAGGGGGCAGGGGAGAGGGGCAGGGAAATCCCGGGGACAGAGATGGAAAAGGCAGGGAGGGGGCAGGGACCGACTGCGTGGCGAGGGGAAAGGCAGGGGAACGCAGGGAACGGGACAAAGGACCGCGGGAGGGAGGGAGAACGTGCGGGAAGGGGGGAGGGGGAATGGGGGGAAGAAGGGAAAATTACAAACCCCGCAACTGATCTCTGTGGTGACAGTCATAGTCTCTTGTTTTGTGAGTGCACAGGACTGAGAAAGAGGTGGGCAGAGGTGGAGACAGGAACATTTCCTTCTGCACAGCACTTAGACCAGGTAAGGAGAAAAGGAGAAGAAAATATGGAGGTGAGAGACAGGAGAAAAAGACCTTTGTATTTAACAAGACAGGTGACTGTAACATTTCCATCATTAATATTTGTTTTGGCTCTTCTCAGTCTCTTCCACACAGCAATCTACAATCCCCTTCATAATACCCAGAATATCTGTAATAGCTTGTAGCTATCTCTTGTGTGACTTCAGATTACTCTTCAGAAGACTCTATATGCATTATATTCACTGCCGTGCCAATTCTACAATCACATTAGCAAAGATAATACCTTGACTTTGCTGATTGTGAAATCATTGAAACTTCCATTTAAAAAGTGGCATATGAAGAAGCAAAGAATAATAATTTTTAAGCAAAAACAGATTACAAATGAGGCAGCTATTGAGCTTCCTTGTGCAAGCTCTCCTACTTCAAACTGCAAAGAACAGTGGCCATTAGTGGTGCATTGCATATTACACTAGGAAAACGTGCTTGAGACTCCGACTGAGTTATTTTACTATTCAGTTCATATTTGTTACTGATTTTTTACTTTAGTGCTTACATCTTCATGTATAAATGGTCAGATCGATGGTTCAAACCCTGAAGTGACAAGCACGTATTTAAATCGCCTTTACTCAAATGTTAATTAATCTTGTTTGTTCCCTTATCCTTATGAAATGTGGTATGCAAGAGAGGTTATTAAAATGGGTGTCAGTGGAGGTGTGCACTTAGAATGAATGCAGCTCTTGGTCCACACAAATTTAATATAGGGTCATTGGAGTAACAGAAAAGATGGTCACAACAATCTAAGGCAATCAGCAAGACAAACTGCTAGGGAAAGTAATATAAATTCTTAGAATAGTTGATGCAATTAAGAAAATTACAAAGCTTTCAGGCATGCAAACACTTCTTATTGTCCTCCCTTCTCCTGCAGTATCATCCAGTCTAATATAAGTAGCTAATAATATAAATATCTATCTAATATAAAAAGATATTTCAACTCCTTACAAGCCTTGCTTCATTTACAGAGAGATGAACTTGTGATCAGGTGAAAAAATGCAACAAGCAGGACTGGCCATGCGAGCAAAGCACATCCTGAATTATTGAAAGGCAACCATGTGGCTGCCACCCGAGCAAACACAGACGAGCCGTGAGAGAGGAAGCCAGAGGAGCAGCATCTATGGTTTTCTGTCTTTCAGCCCAGGTGCCTTTCATTTGTTTCCATGTTTATGAGTGGCTTAATAAAAGAGATTGTTAATGTACACAGTCTCACATGCATTGCCTCTGTGCATGAGCTCACTCCCCCTTATTTTCAGCTGTCTGTCATCTACATCTAGGGAAAACAAAACTGAGAATTGGTTAGTGTTTTTTGGCCTGTGTTTCTACCCACGCCCAGGTTAGACCTCAAGATGATGTAAACTGATGGAGACCCACTAAACTCAGGTGGGTCTGCTGAGTTATGCCAGTGAAGGATCCAACTTGTTTACTTATCAGCTGCTTATGTCTTACATGATGAATTGGTCCTGTACTGACAGCTAATAAAAGATGTATTTATGTAAATGAGAGAGACCACGCACGCTCTACAATATTAAAAAGGATTGTTTTCTCCACAAAATATATTAGTTGAAAGACAGGTGTCACATTTGTTTTGAAATACTGGGGCTTCTTGACATGAAAAACAACACAAGATTTTGTTGGGTTGTTTTTTGTTTTTGTTTTTTTGTTTTTTTTTTTGTACAGCAAATGCAAACTTGTTATTAAAACAGAATTTTCATTTGGTGACAAGGCTGTCTTTTCAGGTTCTGCTGGAAAGCATTCAGCTTGGAGAAGGTCTTGGATTCCCAAAGCCTTTCTGCTGTGGGTTTTTTCCCTTCAAACATGCCAGCTCATCTAATAAAAGAGACTTTCCCACCTAAAAACCTCACCTCACTTACACCTTGAGAAATTCATACCGCCTCTCTAACAGCTTATATCAGTTATTTACTAATGATGGCTTATTAGCAGCAAGTGGGGTCTAATATTCACCATCTTCAGATATGTGAGAATTGTGTGTGTGTGTGGCAAATACCTGAGAACATTCAAGCTTGTGTTCCTCCCCAAAAGGGAAATTATGAATCAGTCACAATTCACAGCTGCAACATAACAATAACTGTTGTCCTTTCATTTTCTGTGACAACTGGAACACTGACAGTGAACAGCAGGACAATGGAGTTGTGTCAACATGCAGGAGGATTTCAGAGTGCTTACAGATATGAGTCATCCTGGTTGGTTATGGAACACTAAACCTTTGGCATTACAAGACTTTCTCAGTGGTTTGATTCTCTTTATTTTTGTCTTGTTTCACCCCATCATTTCAGATGGTGTGAAAGGAATGCATTCAATGCTCAGAGAAAAAAAAAGGGGCTCTCTCAGGATTGTGGAAATGGTCAGATTTCCCCAGGCTTCTAATTTGATTTATTAATTCTTACTCCCTACCATACATACACACAAACATTCACTTAAACATAACATCTTCTACTTGTGTTACAGATGATAAAAATGTTGTCAAGATGCAGCAGGAGAAAAGCCTTTGGGATTAGTTATGGATATGTACATTAACACAAGCAACTTCAGTGTATTTAGTTTGACCTCTTCTATATATTTATTCATACACTTACTCTGTAGTGCCCCTTTCTTTACTACTAGGCACTTTTCTATTATTGTCTTCAACAAAACATTTTGTGTTTCTCCTCATAATTAAAAGAAATACTCATCTCCCTTCCCTGTCTTTTGGGACTTGAATAAAAAAATGTCGCCCTACATCTTTTCCCCATTGTTACTCTGGGTGCACAGTTGTCATCTCTGAATGCAGTTTAAGGTCACTGATTCTGTATTTGGTAACAATCTGGCAGAATTTGGCAAGCTGCACAGGAGTGAGGTCATTTGGTAAAGCAGGGAATCCGTGGGGATCTGTGACTTGTTTGTTATTAATCTGTTCCACCCAGGAACTCTTTTGCTTTTAATCTAACAAATATTTTGAGTACCATTCCTTTTATGGACACATGATTTTCTCCATTGCCCTAATTATTTGTGCTACAGCCTCAGGAGGACTTGTTGGGCTGGTGAGTGGGACTGTGCTTTCATTTGCAAGCTGTGTTTCCTGCCTGTTAGAGAGAGCACATCCAGCTCTTTGTGGGCTTAATGGTGGTGAGAAACATTTGCAACATCAGTCGTTTTGCACTGGGGTGTCCTTTCCCCTGTGTTGATAACACACAGACTCTCCCTCCTACCCATTCACCTCCTGTACTGCTCATCTGTCATACCCAGCTAATAAACTCCAGGCACCTCCTGCCCCGATCATGGCCTTGCATATTTAAGGCATTAGAGCCAGGCTCTCGGTGCACACTGGGGCTGTGGTGAAAGCTGATCACACAAGAAATGCAGCAATCATTCTGCAGCCAATGCTGCCTAAATCCCCATCCCACTTTTATCTGAGTCCCTGCCACGGAAAGTATTGAACTGGACTAATGCACAGCAGAAAGTAAATGCTTATTGAAGAACTGCTCAAGTTTTATCTAGCCACATATTAAATGATCTTGAATATGGAGCAGACATGGGCAAGGCAAGACAACAAAGCATCAAATGATCTGTCTGACAGGGCTTTGGAGCCCAGCTGCAACAGTCAAGTCTCCGTGCTTATGTATGCGTGCTGTGTGGGGAGAGGGGGTGCACAAAGGGTGGGGCAGCCAGGCAAGGGGAATAGATCTGTATGAGCTAATGTGTTTCTCTTGCTTTCCTCCTCCCCTCCCCATCTCCCTTTTCCTGCCTCTCTCTCCTGGGAGATGACTCACACCTGCTCTGCCCTGATACTACCATTTCCCATCAGAAGCACGCAGCCACTCTGAAGTTACCCAAGCTGTTCTGTGTTAGATCCCTGCATTGCTTACATCTGCTCTTTGGGGTGCAGGATTCAAACACTGTGATGGGCAGCATGCCTGTAACTCAGCACAGACTCATGAAATCCAGCCACCTGCCTGTGACACACTGATGTCTTGATGACACCCTGGGCTTTTGAGTGCTCCATCCCAGTGGGAGCCCCATTTTAGGGCCAGATGATGAATCTTCTGTTTATCAGAGAGATGGTCTTTATCAGGACCCAGGCAAGGCATTTATCAGTTGACATCAGGTCCTCAGGTAGACAAATGATTTTTCAGTTCTAAAGGTCTGAGTCATTTCATCTGCATCTGGCCTTATTCCACCTACACCTTCCACCTTGGCTAACACAGGCTCTTTTACCTGCATATAAACAACCACAGTGGTGTCCTCTAATGCTTTCTATGCAGGATCCCAAAGTACTTTAAAAACATTAATGGATGAAGAGTCAGGACCTCACCACAATGTGGCTAACCATTAATTTAATTTATGTTTTAGGAAACTAAAGGCATAGAGATAATCAGCATCTTCCCCATAACAGGTAGAGACAGAATATTGGAAAGGAATGGGGCATCATAGTCCAGCACTGTATTTGAGAATCAAAACCATTCTTCAGTTCAGTGAAAAGGATGAGTAAGGATGTTGCACCTGTTAATTCTGCAAAGTTTTGCACCTCTAAGTCGCTCTGTGAGTTTCAGTTTCAGTAAAGTGAGCCTGTACACTTTAGGGACAACCAGTGATAATAGTTGAACTTGGCCACCTTTGTGGCTCAAAACAAGGTTATAGACAGAACAAAAGCTCAGGAAATCTCAAAGGCTTCTGGGTCCTGATATCCACTGAAATATCCCCTGGGACAAGCTGCATATTATTTTGAAAGTAATCAAGAAGGTATTGTTCACCCTTATTATCCTGCCATTTGTTTTCCTTCTTTGTTGGGTACACATAAAATACTAATCATTATAGTATCCAGAGCTGCTTACAGGTGTTATCAAAGACAGAAAAGATGGTTTGACTTGAGCTGTCAGCAGCAAATTCTCTGAGTGCATATATACTGCATGTATCCAGTGCACACTTCTACAGCAGAGAGCTAGAATTATTTTAAGAATAAGACAAATGAAGGCGTGGTGGTTTTCCCTAACTAGAAGGATATTTTCCTTCAGATTTTATCCCTGTACTGTGCTCTGACAGTAGCCAGCTTAAGGTTGATCTCCAGGAGAAGCGAAATCTAAGGTTTGGGCTTTTTGTCGTGGCAGATAAAGCTCCTGGAAGAGGATCCCTGGGAGCATGAGTGTCCCTTTCAATCAGAGCTGTCACTCCAGCTTTTAGGGAAACTGGTGGCCAAGCTGGCTGCCCAACACAGCATGTATAATCTTAAGTTTTGGAAGTACTCAGCACCTTTACTGACATAGACCCAGACTTGCAAACAATCAGGAGAAAGAGGAATTTCCTTTCTCCTCAACACAAGAAAGGCATCCATCCTTTTACAATTAAAATAATCATGAGCATATGTCTGACTTCTTGCATAAGGCAGTAAAATTACACCCAGAGTTATATTTCACTCTTGTTTTCTTTGGGAAATGCAATCCTGAAATAGAGCCTTGCCCTTTCCCAGTGATAATTTTTCTGTTCTGTTACAGGAGAACAACAGCTCAACACAAGTTACCAAGAGGGCTTCTACATCTCTATAGAGAGAAGGATGCATATTTTTCTTTCTAGAGATTTTCATCTCTGGTTCAGACATTCATTGTTCCAGATGTCACTGGAAGTCCCAGTAAAAGGCCTCTTTTTTATACACTCTAGGGTTTTTCTTCACATCAACAGTCCCTCTCTGAGGCCCTGGATTTATACTCTGGCACCTTCTCTACCTCTCCTGGCTGTTTGTCTTCTTTATACCACTTTGTTCAAACTATCATGTATGTACTTCCTCAGATTTCTACCTCCTAAAATGCTTCTTTGAGACATCTGTTTCTGCTTCAGCTTTCACTCTGGCATTGATCAGCAGAGACATTTGTGAACTGCAAAATCTGCCCCATCCCTCCAGCTTAACAGTGAGCACACTTAGCAGGTGCATCTTACAGCCTGTCCTGGTTCTGCCTGGCATAGAGTTAATTTTCTTCCTAGTAGCTGGTACAGTGTGCTGTAACTTGGATAAGGTATGAGGGTAATGTTTATAACACATGGATGTTTCAGTTGTTGCTAAGCAGTGCTTACCCTAAGTCAAGGACTCTTCAGTTTCCCATGCTCTGCCAGTGAGCAGGTGCACAAGAATCTTAAGTGTGATCACAGAGCACATACAGGAAAACCAAAAGATCAGCCCCAGCCAGCATGGGCTTAGCAGGAAGGTCCTG